CTCCTCCTCCTGCTGCTCCTCCTCCTTCTCCTCCTCCTTCTCCTCCTCCTCCTCCTCCTCCTCCCAGGCTCAGGATGTTCCAACCTGCTTTCAGCCGGGAGCGCCAGAATCTGTATCGTTTGTCCGATCCCCATCCCCATCCCCATCCCCTTCGAGACCCCCACCAAATTACCACCCCAGTTGGGGATACACCCCTCGAAGCCCGGAGGGGACGGCCTATACCCCCATCTAGGGGGGTAAATCGGCCAGTGGGGCCCAGGCCACTCCGCTAGGGATGGGGATCGGTTAAACGATACTCACAGAAAGAATGTCGAGCAAGAATGAAACGCGGGTTGTCACGTGTCCGGCCCTGGGAGACACTCTCCCGACACTGTTTCGACACTCTTTCGACACTTTTCCTGATGCTCGAAATCATGTCTGGGATGCGGATCTTACGTATGATGGGAGCAACAGAAGGCCAAGCGTCATGGCTCGCCTACACCGCCGCGACAACAGTTTGGCCCCATGTACCGTGCCACGTCGAACGAGGGCGAGAACGTCGCAAGACTTGCGAGGGCACCCCCTCCCCCGCAGACTTCTATACCAAGAGGACAAAGCGCAGCTGTGGCGCAGCCGCGGCGAGAGGAAACAATTCTTCAACTGAGACTAATTAGTAGTAATTGTTTATTTCAGGGGATCAATTGTCCCGCCTTTTTTTGTTGCGTGAATATTTCTTCCGCGCTGGCCCGAGGGAATTCCATTGGGAAAGGCACATCGGCCTAAGCTTTCGTCCCGCCCGAAGATAGTCAGAGCCCCGAATCATCAGGGGTAACTCGGATCAGGGCTAACTCGGGTTCGTTTTTTCGGGATTCCGCATTCGAGTTGCCCCAGACCCGAGCTACCCCGGATACTTCGGGCGTCCAGAGCCCAGAATCATCAAGGGTAACTCGGGTCAGGGCTGACTCGGGTTCGTTTCTCGGGAATCCAAACCCCGAGTTATGGACCCGAGTTACCCTGGATAATTCCGGCGCCCAATATATGCCCACCAAAGCTAAGAACATGTCTGGCTGAGGTTGTGAATCGTCGAGGGATTCGTTCGCAAATCATTGGAGCTTGGCGCACCCTCTGAGTATCTGTCTTTCGCGTCGACCAGCGTCGATGAGCGTGTGAGGGCCGATTCGGGCTAGTAGGTCATTTGCAAAGGGTGTTTCAAACATGTGCGCAATAGTTCGTGCAATCGCTCGTGCTGGATCGTGCTGGATGGGGGCAGAATGCGTTGCATGGGGCATGATTGGTCCGTAAGAGAGGCCAAGCCCCATGAGCCACAGGATTAACTATTACCTTTTTTTCGGCGATCGCATTAAGAAAGACCCCCTTTGCCCGGAACTGGCACGGGGGAAACGGGTCCTGAGGGAAACGTCGAAGGATTCGGTAGGAAATCATGGGAGCCTGGCGTACCCTCTTGATTCCGTCTTTCCCGTCGACTAGCGTCGATTGGCGTAAGAGAATTGATGAGATAGCGCCGTTCTGGCGTCGCTTAGCGTCGACTAGCGTCAATCAGCATGAATTTGGATCGACTGGGGTCGACTAGCGTCGATTAGCGTCGATTCGCAAGAGCCGACAAGATGGTATGAGCCTCCGGGGCGGCCCTCGTCACCACCGCTGGGTTCGCCTCGAGATCCTGGTCAGAGCGCGCCCCAGGACAGGTCTGGGGAGTAGCGGTATCGGTGCCTCTTGGTTTCCCCAGGACAGGTCCTGAGGTTTTCCGCCGGTTTCGGGCTCTCGGGGTGCTCCAGGGGCCCCGGGGCTGTCAGTAAAGGACTCAGGATGAAGAGCTCGTCCGGGGGAGGGCGCCAGGGTCCAGGACCCGATTCCCTCAGGACCCGGTCACCCGCTTCCCCCATGCTACAGAGTGAGCCGTCAGCATGCTTGGATTCAGGACTGTCCTGAGTGGTTTCTGGGGCGGGCACTCACACCGGAGCTCGACTCCCACCTGGGCTCGCTGCTGGCTGATCTTGACGGCGTTGTTCGGTATGCCCTCACCCTTGTCGGGCCTCCCCATGCACTCCGTGTGTGGCTCCGCCATGTGCCGCACACGGAGTGCGTGGGGAAGCCCGGCAAGCGCGTGCGTGGAGCGCCCCCCTTTGGACGGACGTTTGGCATTCGTTCCGCTCACGTTTAGGATGGCTCCTCTCGCACTGCATCCTCTCCCCCTTCCCTTTCTCCCCAACCCTTCGCATTTGCCTCCCCATCCCGCTTCACGTGGTGTTCCTTGCTCCTCGTCGCTGGCCCCTTCTGTTTTCTAGTCTCGCCCACTCCTCCTTTCACTCACCCCTCATGCACCAAAAGGGTGTCATACAGCGCCCAGCGGTTAGTGACGTAGTAGTATTCGGTATGGGGAGGAGGATGAAGAGGAAGAGAGGAAGAGGCGGATGGGGGAGAGACCAGATCGAAGGGAAGAGGAAGAAAAGGAGAAGGAGGAGGGAAAAGGTGGAGGCGGAGGAGAAGGCTTATTCCCCCTCCCGCCAGCAGCCCGCGCGGCGCTACCCCCCTGCCTCGCACGACACCCTGTCCCGTCCGCAGTTTCACTGGGGTGGTGTCGGCGGACCTTACCTTGGACCGCGTGGACGGCATCCTCGAACAGCAGTGGACCGCAGGAGGAGGAGGAGGAGGAGGAGGAGGAGGAGGAGGAGGAGGAGGAGATCAGGAGGAGGGGGAGGAGGAGGAGGCGAGAGGACACCCTGGACCGCGTGGGCGGTATCCTGGAGCCGTGTTGAGCCGCAGGCTCTCTTGCTGCCACTTCTGGGCCTCCCGGGGGCCTCAGGCGACTCCGCCCGGACCCCCTCGAAGTCTTCGATAGAACACGCTCCACGACGAGAGAGCAAGAGAAACAGAGAGAGAGAGAGGGAGAGAAAGAGAAAGAGAGAGAGAGAGAGAGAGAGACAGCGAGCGAGAGAGAGAGAGAGGGCGAGAAAGAGAGAGAGAGAGAGAGCGAGAGAGAGAGAGAGACAGTTCCAGGTATCGAGATCTAGAGAGCGAGAGAAGTATATACATGCACATATGAATATCTGGTCACCCCCTGAAATCATACATGTTCCTCCTCATCCTCAATCACTGATTCTCCGTCTTCTACTTCTATCTCTCTCTCTCTCACTCTCTCTCTCTTTCATCCCCTTTCCCTCCTCCCCCTCATCCTCCTCCTCCTGCAGGATTGTGGCAGCCTTACAAAGGGACCTTGTTCTGAAAAGCCTTACAAAGGGGCTGCTTGTTGGAGGGGACCAAATGAACACACAGATCTCACTGATATGTTTGAAGGTCTTGGTCAGGAAACCCTGTGGAAACACAGATATGACTGATATGTTTCAAGGTTTGGATAGGAAAACCATGTGAAAACATGTTCTCTGGGCATCCCCCGTGCAGTCCTCACACACCTTTCACCTCTCGCACCCCCTCTCCGCTTCGCTTCGTTTCAATAGCATCATGCGTTCTCTTCTCTCTTCACACAAACAAGCATGATCACCCCTATCACCATCGCACCACCACCGTCATCCTCATCACTATCACAATCCCATCATGATCATACTTACGCTCATCCGCACCATCATCATCATCATCACCACTCGTAGCCATGCTCAAAGCCAAGCTGGCTTCTTTTTCCCTTTCTCTGCTGGGTAGGCTCCCATCCGAGTCCCATCGTGCATGTCCGCCCCTGGCAGCTCCATGCCCAAGTCCTGGACCGAGCCTTGCGCCCCGGGCACTTCCATATCCAAGTCCAGGTCCGAGCCGCGCGTCCCTGGCACTTCCATGTCCAAGTCCTGGTCCGAGCCTTGCGACCCAGGCACTTTGCAATGTTCCCGAGGCTGGCAAAGAACGCGACTCTCCTCGGCTACGTTCTCTTCGCGGCCTTCTTCTGCGCATACCAGTCGTCCATCAGCGAAAGCTTGCCGTGCTACGTTCATCACGAACAATGTCTGCTTCAAGCTCGGACGACACCAGGGCCACTGGCTTCCGTGGGACACGAAGTGAAGTGGCGGAGCTTCGGAAGGTGCTGCGCGTCGCAGCGACGCCCGACAGGCACGACGACGGCAACGTCGGGAAGACGCTCGCGACCGCACTCGAGACCACTCTGACAGACGTTACCTTCTTCAGCACAGGGATCCCTGGCAGTCGGGCACCAGCCGATCCGCTGCTGCGGGGCGACGGGCTGGACGATTTGCGGTGCTGGCGCGGGCCGAGATAGTGGGCCCTGTAATTCCAACCCACCGCCAGACCGTGGACCGGACCCTCATCTCGACGCAGCAGCAGCCGCCGAGCTGGCACAGCAGCTTGAAATGGCCCCTTCGCTTCCGTCACAAGAGCATCGGGCAGGCGCTGCGCAAGCTCCAGCTCACCTGCAACCAGCCACACCGCCAGCTGGCCACGATCCTGCAGTTCCGCAGCCCCCACGGCCTCGGCGAGACGTCCCTGGAACACCTGGGCAACCTACGCAGCTCCTTCGGCTCCCGCAAGGACTCGCACCACAGGATCTCTGGCGCGCCATCGAAGGAGCCGTCAACTCGCAGCTCGCAGTGGCCACACAGCAGCTCAGCAACCTCTTCGACTCCACTTGGGGCGATGTCAAACATGATCTCCGTACCACAACCGAACGGCACTATGCCCCGCAGCAAGCCAGACTTGAACGAGCAGAACGCAACTTCGGCATCACTCGCAGGCTTCAGGACCAACAAGTAGCAGAACATAAAGACCTTCGCCGAGCCGTTCGCACATTGGAAGCAGCAGCATCCCTTGCTGGAGCCCAGCTGCCTACCATCGACCCCGCTAACGTGGTAAATTATGATAGAGAACCGAACCCCGTGCTCTGCCATATCGGAGCGCCTAGCAACACCCAGCCAGCGGAAGTTCGACGCGCCACAGCGCAATGGACTCAAGGCGCCCAACTTACAGCAGAACAAGTCAAACTACTCGAAGATGCCCCAGCGCGCCGATTCCACCTACTCGTGCTCGGAGGCCCTGGAGTCGCGCGCCCAAGGGCGCTCGCTTTTGCTCGGGCATTCAAACTCACGGTAGGGCGGATGGCGGGCATTCTCGGTGCCCGACGCCCATGGCGCAGACGCCGCGCTCTTCACCTCCAGTGGCAAGTCGCCGAAACAGGAGCGCAATGGGGGCTCCAGACCAAGCGTGTCGCGGGCATCCTCGGGGAGCTCTTCCCTGGCATGGACTTCAAGACGCTGCGACAGTCGGACATCGCGCAGCAGGGGGCGATCCCAATCGCGAAGATTCAGCCACAATGTATACGGGAACATTCTAAGCTCAAGTTGAACCCAGCTGCGGTCAACAACATGGGCACCAACAAAGACCTGGTTCAGCCGAGGTCCGTGGCCGCCTTAGTTTCGATCGACGCGCCCGCGCGGTCTTTTAAACCCTAGCTGGGGTCCCTGGGAGGCCACCAAACATGACGCACCACTACAGATTGTCTCGTGGAGCGCTCGGGGGCCCCTATGTCGCAGTCGTTCTCGGTCCCCGCAGAAGTTCTTCAAGCTCACTAGCGCCTTCAGGTCGCGGTCAGTTCTTCTCGTGCAGGAGCGTCATGGACCGCGGGCTGACTTTGACTTGATATTGGCGCGCTCTCCTCGCTCGGGCTTTTTTTTTGTTCGCGTGTGTTTGTGTGTGTGTGTGTGTGTGTGTGGGGGGGGGGGGGGGGGGGGGAGGGGGGGCGCTTTTCCCCCCTTGTCTTCGGGGCGCTCCTCCGCGGGGGGGCATGGGCAGGCGCGGAGCTTGAGGGGTTGTCACCGCGGTGCCTGGGCTGGCCCGCGCAGAGTAAGACGCTTCAACAAGACCGAGCAGCTGGACGGCCCCCCTCGATCACGAGTCCCACGATTTGCCGCGCGTTCCATCCTGGCCGGGCGCGTTCATGTCCTCGCGGTTTCCAACGTCACCAGCGAACGCGAGTTCCGCGTCCTGAGCGCGCACAACTATGACATGACGGCTGACCAGAGAAGCACCTTGCAAGTGGAGTGGCCCACTCGCTCCACAGGGGCTTTGTCGGACCCGTTGCTCTTCACCTTCGTCGCGATGGGTTGCTTCAACTTTTCCGATGCGCCCACGCAAGCGCATCTCATGCCACGAGCGCGACAACAACATCAGACGCAAGAGGGTCGATTCAATTAAAACCAGCAATTTTGGCGGCAGCTGGCCCGAACGAGCACGGTGCACTTCAGTTTTGAGATCCCGACCTTCTTCTCCAAGCAGCATCAGACGGGCGCCGCGATCCACCGCGGTTTCGTTGCCATCCCTCCCGCCTTCGCCCCCTGCCTCCATAGCCAGTCGAGCGTCGCGCAGGATTCGACAACGCTATCGGACAAGAGGCTCAGTGACCACACCACGATCAAGCTAGCGATCAAGTACCGCAAGCCGCCCGTGGGAGACCAGCGCCCGATCCCTAATCTAATCTTCCGCTCCAAGCAGCACATGACCCCCCTCGCCAAAATTCAGAGCGAGGCTGAACTGGACACGATGACCGACTTTCGGCGCATCGACGTCTCGAAGCAGATCGCGCCCCCGGCGCCCGAGCTGGCGCGCAACGAGCTGCTGCAGCTCCCGCTGGACACGGGCGACGTCGAGGCTCGCGCCTCGTGCCATTGCGCGCGCCGTTTGGCGCTTAGACCTTGCCGCTGCTCGCCAATTGGCGGCTGCCGCAGAGCTAGGGCGATGATTTTTGCACATCGCAGGCCCCCCCCCGCAGCTGCGCGACGTGGCTGAGCTTCAAAGCGCCGTTGTCTGCAGTAACCAAGCGCGGCGCGAGCGGCCCCAGCGCCGCGGGGCTGCTCGCGCGGCCCAAGCGCAGGACCAGCCAACCATCGAAGCACGGCGACGCATCCGACGCACTCTCCAGCGCCGCGCGGCGCTCTGGGCACCGTTTCCTAAGCGCCTTGTCTCGCGCGGCATCGCGACCATTAATGTTGCCCAAAACCCGAGGCTCAATGACGGGGGCTCAGTGCTCCCACCGGTGGCCAGAGAGCCGGAAGACGTCGCCCGCCGCCCCGACTCCAGCGGCCCCCCGTTTTCTTTGACACACGCGCTTCTCGAGCTGAAGTCGTCGCTTTCTCGGGCGAGGTTTCGCCCGCGTTCCCAGTTGCTGACCTGCCGACCCCCTCCAAGGATGCTTTCATTCATGCCTTTAAGCGTGGGCGGAATTCGGCGCCTGGCCCTGGCCGCCTCTCGCGCCCGGCCTGGCTGGCCGCCCCAGCCACCATTGATTGTCTCCACCCTATCTTTCTGCGCCTCTCCAGTTCCCTGCCCCCCCCCTCCCACCCTGGACAGATTGATTTCTTTTTCCCGCCGAAATGCGACGGGATCAGCGCTGCGCTCGAATGCTTTCGCGATGCCAGAGCGACGGCGTCAGCAATAAATTTCCCGCTGACAAAGTTAGCCCAAGAGCGCGCGCACGCAACCCAACATGGTCTGATCAGAGGCTGGAATTTCTGCCATGACATAGCCAAGCTTGATGCCCGCGCGAGAGCGGTCGGTAGTCGCGCAGACGCTGACTGTCGGATATCCTTCTTTGTGGCATTTGATCGCAAGGCGGCGTTCCCCAGCATGAACCGCACGCGTCTCTTTGCGGTCCTCGAACGCATGGGCCTCCCTGCTGGGTGCCTGGTCGCGAATCGAGGCGCGCGCGCCTTCGCCCTGGCTTCGACTCGTATCCGCGACGAAGTCGCGCCATTGCTGCCTATCATTTCAGGCGCGATGCACGGGTGCCCACTTAGTGTCTCTCGCTGGGCATTCGGGCCGAGATGGCGACATAATCGAGATGCGTAATCTCTCCGACGCCAGCGCGCGAGCAGCAACCACAAGGCGCGCACTTGAACGGAATGAGTACGCAAGAGCCCGAGCGCGTGCACTGGACACTCATACATACTAGACATACGTAACAGATGCATCTCGTAACGGCATAACTGGCATAACGCACATGTGTGCGCGCATCAGACTTAACGGCGCAGGGTGCATGCGTTGCTGCGTGTTTTGCTAACTGGTAGGAGCATAAAAGACGAGGCGCGCGCAGCATGCACGCAGAAGACATGCCCACGCGACATTTATAAAGTGCAGGCAGGTGTACCAAAGTTATCACAGGCACCAAGTGAACGCACGTTATAAAACAACGACGTGGCACAGAACGTGTCTATGGACTTCGGCACAGGTAATCATCGGCGTGTCAGACACGAGAGGCGTCGAGACTCCGCGAAGTCACTGCTGGCCCCAGGGGGGCCAAGCGCAGCAACGAGTGTTTGGGGAACGGCAGACGCCGCGGCTGAGACAATGGAATTGTTCTGTGAATGCGTGACAGGACAAAAGGGCGCAGACATTGCGCGACTACGCAGGCATTGCACGCGCCTCGTCGCCACGCTGACCCGAGAGAAAACAAGCACTGTAACGGCCGATCTGTCGTATTCGCAAGTGCGACAGCGCGTCGCACGCATGGAGAGCATGCACAACTAGGACCACTTCACACACGACCATCGTACCTGCAGACAGACAGCATGATAGGATGCATCGAGCTGAAGTTGCTTGCGACGAATCAGACGCGGCAGGCGCCGCAACGTCACGCTGGCCTGGCAAGCTCGATGTGAACCAACGACCGCTACGTAAACTACAGACCGCTTGATAAGACAAGTCGAAGAAGCCTCCCTGGACCCATTGGATAGGACAGGAGTCGCGACGTCAAGCCGAGCCGAGACAATGGCAAACGACCGGCGCCACAGGTCACAGAGTGGCAAAGCAAATTGTCTAGTTGTGTCGAGGGCGCGACTACGCGGGCATGACATGTGCCCCGATAGCAGCATTCACGAAAGTCCCATTCAAGGACAGGGCGTTATAAGAGGCGCTGGCGACGCGCAGCCCGCAGGCCCGACAAGCACGAAATGCAGCAACGAATGCTCGGAAACACTCAGGAGGCTTCTAAATGCAAAGTAGTAGCTGCATTTCGCGGCAAATCAGATACGACATGCGCCCTGGCGTTATCTGATCTCGACAACACAAGCAAGGGTGCCAACGACCGTTCAGACACAACAGGCGCCACGGCAGACACACTGATCAAGTAATCCACAGCGCCGCAAGACAACCGGGGACATTTTACGACTCAGCAGGCGTGACAGGCGCGACGATGTCGCGCTGGCCCCGAAGAAACAGGCGCAGCAACGACCGATCTGGAATGACAGACGGCATGTCCAACCAAAACGAAACAAAACACATCAGCGTGCAACGACATTGTGATCTAACTATTCCACGATTGCGCATGCGCGCGTCACGCCGTCACGCCCACCTGGGAAGATCCAAGCGCATCGACGACTGCTTGTAGGAAGTGTCTGACGCCACGGCACACATGTCCTGAAAACGACCGCCTGCATGATATTAGATCAGTTGCAAGCATCCCGCGGTGATTCCGCGCCACATGCGTCTCGACGTCGCGCCGGCCCCGCCAGATTCGAAGCGCAACCGCGACATTCAAAGTGATGAAGCGGATGATATACAGAGTGGTACAGTGGGGGCCCATGCCAAGAAACACCCTGCTTGCCACCAGGGTGCCCTGGGTTTCTTGGGTTTCGATGGTTTTGCTATGGAAGCGCGACGGTCAGCTGCGCTCGGTCCGCTCGCGCGGCGCGTCGGCGGGATCGCAGCCGCCGCTCCACATGCCCTGGCGGCCGCCGCCGTCGCCAGGAGTAGAGCCTGGCCCTTTATTCAATAGAAAGAAGGTGGAGGAGGAGGAGGAGGAGGAGGAGGAAAAGGAGGAGGAGGAGGAGGAGGGCGAACTGCTCGTCTGCGAGCTGGCTCCCGTGCTCTGAAAACGACGCGCTCGAATGGCCGTGGCCCGAGGTGCAGGCGGTGTTCCTGCGCGCCGAGCCTGCCGTAGCCTCTGCAGCGCTCAAGCTTCTGATCCGAGGCTGGACCACAGATGAAAGGTTTCAACGAGATTGCACGTGCCTGCTCGGGTGCATCCCAAATGGGCTTGACTCGAATCGCGATGTTTTAAGCCATTACTGGTCCTGCCTCGATTTCTCGCCATTCTCTGCTCCGTGCTCCACGTCCCCTCTTCCTGGCTGTCCCATCGTCCGTCTCGGTCCTGTGTCCCCCACCATCCGCGCCATTCAAGTGCCTGCAGCCGCGAGGCTGCTGTACAATGCCATCAATTCCATGAGAGGCGCCACTCTCGAACTTCTCGGCGAGCGCAAAGCTCGCGCGCTGGCCGCAACTGTGCGCTTCCAGCTCGGGCCCTAATCGTGGAGACCTTCGGCGCGCAGGCACGTGCGAGGACGAGGACGAGGAGGAGGAGGAGGAGGAGGAGGAGGAGGAGGAGGAGGAGGATAAAGAGGAGGAAAGGGAGGAGGAGAAGAAGAGGGAGGGGGAGGAGGAGGAGAAAGAGGAGGAGGAGGAGGAGGAGGAGGAGGAGGAGGAGGAGGAGGAGGAGGAGGAGGAGGAGGAGGAGGAGGAGGAGGAGGATGAGGGAGAGGAGGAGGAGGAGGAGGAGGAGGAGGAAAAGGAGGAGGAGGAGGGGAAGAGGAGGAGGAGGAGGAGGAGGAAGAGGAGGAGAAGGAGGAGGGGAGAGGCAAGCAGGCAAAAACTCGCCGTCGGCTCACATCGTCATCCCTCCGCCGCCGGCTCCTCGGCGCCGCCAGCCTCCTTTCTGACGCGCATCAGTACAGTAGGCGTGAGCACCGTCGGTGACAAATGTTGAAGGCCCGAGTGGGGAATACTCGAAGCATACTGATCTCTGCGTTTTGTGTTTTATTTTTGACCTCAGACATTCGCCTCCGCGGTTCGTCAGGTGCTGTACGATCGTTGTCTTTAACATCTTGTTATACGCGCCCAGTATGCTTCGCGCCAGAAACACAAACAACGAGTGCGAGGGGACCGTGATCCAGAGGAAGAGGGGAGGAGGAGGAGGCGGAGGAGAGGAGGGGGGGGGAGGGGGAGGAGGATGAGGCAGGGGAGGGGGAGGAGGAAGAGGAAGAGGAGGAGGAGGAACAGGAGGAGGAGGAGGAGGACGATGAGGAGGAGGAGGAGGAGGAGGAGGAGGAGGAGGAGGAGGAGATGGAGGAGGAGGAGGAGGAGGAGGAGGAGGAGGAGGAGGAGGAGGAAGAGAAGGAACATGAGGAGGAACAGGAGGAGGAGGAGGAGGAACAGGAGGATGAGGAGGACGAGGAAGAGGAGGAGGAGGAGGAGGAGGAGGAGGCGGAGGAGGAGGAGGAGGAGGAGGAGGAGGATGTTGGGCGTTCTTGTTGCCTGTTGTGTCCCGTGGGCCCCCGTGGTCTCCCGTCGTGTCCCGCTGTTTCCCGTGGTCTTTCCCGCTGTCTCCCGTGGGCGCCCGTTGTGTCCCCCGGTCTCTCCTCTCGCGCTGTCGCGCGTGGTCTCCCGCGGTGCACCGTCGTTTCCCGCTGTCCCGCGTGGTTTCGGGGGCGGCCAAGAGGGTGGTGGTGGCTAGGGTGGTGGTGGATATCATGGTGGGGGGGCGTGATATATCCCCAGATTTTAAGGCACGTTTTATCAATCCAATACGTCCCTGGCCCCCCCCCTTGGGCCGCGCACGTGCCGACCGCCATGAGTTGCGCCCCCTCCTCTTGGACGCCCCCTTTTTGGCCGCCCCCGATGGTCTCCCGTTACCCTTTTGCATCGCGGTAGGCGTCTCTGTCGATGCCCCTCTCCCCGCCACGGTGGAAAGTTGTCGAGGGCGTGTTGCCGCAAGGGTGTCATGGAGTGTTTTGTCCCCCTTGACAAGCCCGAAGGCTTTTGGGGTACACGCGGCGACTTTGACCACCGCAGGGCCGCAAAGGGTCTTGAGGCCATCGTGTTCCCCGAGTTTTCGCATGTGCGAGAACGTTGCCCTCGAGAATCTATGCCCGCGCGCTTGAGAAGGATGACGAGGATCCGCCTCCTGGCGAAGGCTCCCGGACCTGTGCACAGAGCGAGAGAGTTCCCCCCACAAGTTGGGGAGCGTCGAGGACAAACAGAGGACAGAGGAGAAGAGAGGAAGAGAGGAGAAAGGGGATGGAAGAGAAGTGATGAAGAGCAGGGAGGCGGAGGAGGAGGAGGAGGAGGAGGATGAGGAGGAGGAGGGAATAGAGGAGGAGGAGGGAATGAAGGAGGAGGAGGAGGAGGAGAAGGAGGAGGAGGAGGAGGAGGTGGAAACATATGAAGAGGAGGAGGAGGAGGAGGAGGAGGAGGAGGAGGAGGAGGAGGAGGACGAGGAGGACGAGGAGGACGAGGAGGAAGTTGAGGTGGATGAGGTGGAGGAGGCGCAGGGGGAGTTGCAGGAGGAGGACCTTCGTCCTGGCGATGGCACTCTTCCTTGCGCACCCCCCGCGGGACCCCTCCTCCCACCAAAGGACCGGCCTCCGGAAGGACCTGAGCGCCGAGCCTTGGCCGTGGCCTCGGCGGTCTCGTCGTCGCCGCCAGGTGCCGTCGCCGCTGCCGCCGTGGCCGGCGTCGTCTTCGTCGTCGACGTCGACGCTTCGTCATCGTCGTCGCCGTCGTCGTCGTCGTCGTCGTCGTCGTCGTCGTCGTCGTCCGCGTTTTCGGTGCATTTTGGAGTTCTTTTGGCCTCCTGGGGCGCTCCCTCGTGGCCGCGGCTGGATTCCCCTCGGACTTCCTTGGCCAGAGCGCAACCCCTGGAGAGGTCCACGGGGTGGTCCCTATGGAGGTCCTGGGGTCGATCTCTGGGGATCGTCGTCGTCGTCCTTCGCGGAGGAGTTTTCGGGGGGATGTGGTGGGTTTGAGGGCTGCAGGGTGCTTTAATCGGACATGAGGGGGTCCAGGGACTTGTCGGGGCTTCTAGGAAGTTTTCTCGGGCGTGGGTGTTTGAAGGGAGCCGGACGGAGGACGGGGAGGGGAAGGGAACATGAGGAAAAGGGTGATTCTGGCTGATGCTTGTGACAGATAGTGATGATGGGTATGCTGCTGTTGCTGCCGGTGGTGGTGGTGCTGCTGGTGGTAATGGCAATGGTGATGGGGATGGTGATGATGATAATTAGTGATGGTGATGATGCTGATGATGCTCATGATGAGGATGATGATGATGATGATGATGATGATAGTGATAATGGTGGTGATGCATCTGGTTAGAATGCACATGGTGGTGGTGATTATGATGGTGGTGCTGACTTTGATGCGGATGATGCGGATGATGATGATAATGAAGATGATATTGATGATGATGATGATGAGGAGGAGGATGATGATGGTAATGATGCTGATGATGTTGATGCTGAGGATGAGGAGGATGAGGATGAGGATGATAATAATATGTATGCTGATGAACCGATATGATATGACGAGGATGATGATGATGATGATGATGATGATGATGATGATGATGATGATGATGATGCGTATGATGCTGATTATGATGATAATGCGAACGCCAATGTCGATGATGATGATGATGACGATGATGATGCTGATGATGATGATGACGGTGTTAATACTTCTACTGGTGATGTTGGTGGTGGTGCTGCTGCTGCTCGGACGATGGTGATGAGTATGATGACAATGATGATTATGCTGCTGATGATGATGACGACAGTGACCATGATGCTGATTATGATGATGCTGATGATGGTGATTGTGATGTTGTTGATGCTGATGATGAGAAAGATGATGCTGCTGCTGCTGTTGCTGCTGCTGATGATGATGATGATGATGATGATGATGATGATAATGATGATGATGATGATGATGATGATGATGATGATGATGATGATGCTGATGATGGGACTTGATAAGGGGAAGGGGTAATGACGGACGGGGGACGGGACGGGAGGGCATGGCAGGAGGGGGAGGAGGAGGCAGACGATGCGGAAAAGGCGATTGGGTAAGATTGTGAAGAGAAAGGTCGAAGTGGCGTAGTGATGAGGAGCAGGAGGAGGAGGAGGAGGTGGAGGAGGAGAAGGAGGCGAAGGAGGAGGAGACGTTGAAGGAGGAGGAGGATGCGGAGGAGGAGGAGGAGGATGAGCGGGGTGGCGGGTGTGGGCGGTGGGACTGCAGGGGGGAAGAGTTGGAAGGGGGAGGGGACAGGGAGGAGGAGGAGGAGGAGGAGGAGGAGGAGGAGGAGGAGGAGGAGGAGGAGGAGGAGGAGGAGGAGGAGGAGGAGGAGGAGGAGGGGGGCAAGGAGGGAGGACAGGCGGGCGAAGGAGGGCGGCGGCGGTGGCGCCCATCGGGCAACCTGGGCGTGGCCTTCCTGGCATACGGAGGCGGGGGGGTCTCGGCCAGCGCATGGAGCGAGCACGCGGCCGGCACAGAGTCCCGGGGGCCCGAAGACAGACGGTCGTTTCGTGTCGTGGGGACGCGGCGGCGTGGAGGGTTTCTCCAAAGGGCTTCGGCGACCCGTCCTCCTCCACTCTCCACCTCTTCCTCCTCTTCCTCCTCCTCCTCCTTCTCCTCCTCCTTCTCCTCCTCCTCCTGCTCCTCCTCTCTCGTCCTCCTTGTCATCCTCCTCATCCTTCTCCTTCTCCTCCTTCTCTTCCTCATCCCCCTCCTCGCCCTCCCCTCCTCGGGTCGCCTATACGGCCCCAGGGGAAACCGTCCACGGCGGCGACCCAGCGCGCGCGCTCAAGGTTGATCACCGCCAGTGGCTCCGAGTCAGCCAATACGGAACGATCTGGCGATCGAAAAGCCGTCGATCGTTCAAGGCTTAACCATCCGCAGCATGTCAGGAGCCAACGCCAGGGTGGACACGAACCCGCCGTATATGAGAGGCAGCGACCACCGCCACCGAAACCCCATCGGGGGAGGACTGTGACCCATTGGACTGTGACCCATTGGGATGGTTTCCGCGTATACTTGGCGCTCCTCCTTTCTGCGGACGCCTCCGTCCTATAGGCCCTGCGGGCCCTCGCGGCCAGAGAGGCCACGCAGGCAGCGCCTTTTGGCGCTGCCGATGGGGGGTGGGAGGCGACCACTGTGCGGTGGCGCGCCCGAGCATCTCCCAGTTCCAGACGACACTCGGGCTTGCCGCTGCCCGTTGGGGTGGGTCCCCCCACCCGATGGGCTCTCGGTGACGGTGGTCTCTGCTTCTGCTCTTTGGCAGAGGGGAAACTTCGTCCAGGGCGCCTTTCCTCCGAGGAGCCGCGTCCACGATGCCACAACCAAGTTTGAAGCCCCCCCCCTCGGCCCGAGGTCGTATGAGCTGCTGCCCAACACGTCAAGCATCTTCATAGTCAACCGGGCCTCGCCGCGGTTCCCCGCGCAGGAGGCCCCCGAGGGAGGAGGGGCTGCTTTGATGCCCAGGTCGCCGTGTTGGGCCGTTGTTTTCAGTACAGTCGGGGCCCTGAAGAAGGAACCCTTTTCGTTGGGGAGGGGCTCCGTGTTCCTTGATTGTTTCGCAGCTTGCCTCAGGGTTTCCTTATGGTTTCGATGGGAAATCGAAGTTTAACTTATGGAAAAAAGGGGCCTCGTTCCTTATTTAGGGTTCCTTAGGTCAACGCCTCGACTGTGCTCCTCGATGGGTGGGTGGGGGGGGGGGCAACCGATTGCCTGACAGGGGGGGGGGGCGGCGAGCAGGACGGCCGCCGGAGGAAGATGACGAAGAGGGGGAACAGGGAGCAGGAGGGAGCAGGAGGGAGCAGGAGGGAGGAGGAGGAGGAGGAGGAGGAGGAGGAGGAGGAGGAGGAGGAGGAGGAGGATGCTCTCGCTCGACGTGAGCATTGCGGAACACCTGCTCTGGGCTCCGATGCCACACGTGCTTTGCCTTGGGAAGGGTGGCCTGAAGGCGACAAGAGGACGCGACACGGAGGGAGGTGCACCCTTCATGGGCGGCATCACGCCCGAAAATAAAACAACTCGAGCCAGCGAGCGGGCAGGGGGCGATGCACAGCAGATGAGGGGGGGACGATGAAGGGGAGAGGGGGGGGGGCGAGGCTCTTCCGGTTGCAAATCATTGGGACCTTGCATGCCCTCGCAGTTCCGTCTCTAGCGTCGACTAGCGTCGATGAGCGTTTGGTCATGGTCGATGGGATAGCGCCGATTTAGCGTTGAGTAGTGTCGAGTAGCGTCGATGTAGCGTCGATCAGCGTCGGCCAGCGTCGATTCGCAAGAGCCAACAATGTGGTATGGGAGGCTCCGAAGAGTTGCCGCAGAAGGCTCTGATGTTTGAGTCATCGTGTTGGGCCACCGTTTTCAAGAGAGCGCTTGATGCGCATCCAACCCCCCTCCTCACTTTGTCCTGTTTCCTCGTGCACCTCTGGATGCTGCGGAGTTCAGAGCCATACGGATCTAACGACTGCCATCGCCTCCCTTGCATGTCGCCAGGCGCTCAGCCGTCGACGCTTTCTTGCGTCCCTGGAGGATCAGCGCAGTGCGGCCCCATGCAGATCCAAATGGGATCTTGCCCTCCCCAGGGTGCTGCCAAGCGCGCGCGACTTACCGCCAGCTCCCAGTTGTTTAGGTGGGCACCTGATCAGATCAGGTGGTCAGATCAGTTAGCGGAGGCGGAGGAGATGGAGGAGGAGTAAGAGGAGGAGGAAGAGGAGGAGGAGGAGGAGGAGGAGAAGGTGGAGGAGGAGGAGAGAGAGGAGGAGGAGGCGGAGGAGAAGGAGGAGGAGGAGGAGGAGGAGGATGGAGGAGAGGAGGAGGAGGAGGAGGGGCGAGGAGGCGGGGGAGAAGAAGGAGGAGGGAGGAGGAGGAGGAGGAAGAGGAGGAGGAGGAGGAGGAGGAGGAGGCGGAGGAGGAGAAGAAGGAGGAGGAGGAGAGGAGGAGGAGGAGGAGGAGTCAGAAGGAAGGAGGAGGAGGAGGAGGAGGAGGAGGAGGACGATTTTTTTGCATGGGGCCATGCTGCAGCCCACGTACTCCGCTCAGGGTGGGCGAGGCCCTGAGGGGGCAGCCGCGCCGAACAACTGTACGGACGGTCGGCTCGGAAACCAGCGAGGGGTGGGTGTGCCTGGGCGCTCCGCGAGACCAGGCAGCAGAGACCCACCCCTGGGTGGCCCCTCACAGGCACACAGGGCCCAAGGGGGCCCTGCTACACCTGGACGGGGGCCGACGGCGCGCCAGGCACAGTGCCACAGCCCTCGGCCAGAGGGGAAAACGGGCCCACGACAGGTGACCGCCTAAAGGACCGCCAGAGTTAGGCGGAGGCGCCACCATCAGGAGCCCCTTGCCCTCGACTGCACAAGAGGACAAGCGGCGAGTGGCGGGCAAACAAGTGCTGGCGTCAGGAGCGGAGCCCCAGACACGCACCACAGAAAGAAAAAAGGGGGCGAAAGCCCACGAGGCACCGTGCGGCCCTACACGAAACGCGTACGCGCACGCACTCGCCCGGGCACGGGCCAGCGAGGGGCGAGGGCAAACCACAGCCCTAGCGCCCTCCCATATGCATCACTGCGCGCATCTTCCCCCTGAAGCGGGGTGCCTGGCATGCGTGCGGCACGGAAGACGCGCAAGACACACTGGCCAACAAAAGGACGACGAGGCCTGCCCCAGGTGCTGTAGCGCCTGGACGACACGACCACGCCCCAGATGTAAAACCGAAACACACGCGAGACAAAAACAAAAAACGACCTCCCACAAAAGGACGGCGGGACCTCCAGCCCCTGGTGCAGCCAGCGCCAGGACGACTGGAGGCCACACCCCAAATGTGGGACTAGGCCCTAGAAAAGACAGACCGTGTCAAGATCAACAGTGACCCCAGGCCGCTTCGGGTGGAGCCCGCGTTGCAACTTGACCCACGGATTGTTATGCGCCTTTATATCCTCGGGCTTGCAGGCCTTGGCCAGGTTGGCCAAGCGGCCACCCGAAGTCATGTAGTTGCACTTCTGGCAGACGCACAAGAAAGAACCATCCGAGCAGTCTATGACGGCGCAGCGGTGGCCCAGAGATCTGAGCACAGCGGGCTGAACCCTCAAGGCAAGAGTGCAAGAGCCACCCTCTGGCCTGGCGAGGGGAGAGCCCCGCTTCCCTCGGAGACATTCAGACACTGCCAAAACTTGCCAGCCCACCCCCAAACGTGGGGCTTGGATTCCTTCTTGGCCGAGGGGCCCTTAACAGCAGGCACACGGTCCGCGTTGGGACCCAACTCCAGCTTAGGCCAAGAAGGCAAAACTTTGGCAGCAAGTCGGGCCACCGCCTTAGCAACCGCGATACTCCGATCAAGACCCTCGGACTCCGACGGAGAAGGCATAGGATGCAAGGCAAGCGCGGCCTTGGCGGCCTCATCGGCCCAGGCGTTTCCCTGGCGGAGGTACCTGTCCCAGGGATCATCAGCGGACTCGATGTCGAGGTGAGCCTTGACCTTGGCAACCGTGATCTTCGGCCAGTGCTCACGCACGAATTGGGCGATTCCTGAAAACATCCTTTTGGCAGAACACTGTTCAGCCCACGGGAGGTCCGAAAATTCCACAACATTGAGACAGTCCGAATAGATCGTACTAGGACCTGTGGTCCACTGCACCGAAATAGAAAAAGCAAAGAATTCAGCCGCCTGGGGCGTTTGCGGGCACGGGGCCCACACAGGCCCAAGGACACGAACAATCTGCTTCAAAGTATTCCTACAAACCAGGGTGAAGGCCCAGGCAGCTCGGTTTAATTCGCGAACAACACTTCGAGAACACGACCCGTCGGCGAATATGTCGCCCTCGAAGGCGTATGACTCCAGGTCCGCGGGCCCCCCTTCCAGCCATTGAACCTCGACTCCTCCAGAACACTTGGCGCCTGGAAAGGTATCCCCAGGGTGCGGAAAGATCCCGTAGCACGCCAAGAGATCATCCGACTCCGAAGCCCATTTCTGCACTTTGTCCGTGACGCACTCGTCCCGAATGTCGGACACACTCGGGCACAGCCACAACCGATGCCTTAGCGTGTCAACTGCGCCACCGCACAGTGGGCAGCTCGTAGACGGCAATATATAACCTAAGCTGGCGGCACGGTCTCGAGTATAAATGGCCTGGCAGGTGAGCGCACGCATACAGCCTTTCTCGAAAGGCGAGTATCTGGCGGAGTTCAGATACGCAAACGCTCCGTCGACACAAGCCCGACCATCCAAGTTGAACCTAGCTCCCAAGTCCCACTCGAGAGTCCTACGGACCGCGGCCCTGAGAAGGTTTTTAACCAGCCTAGGGGAGAACTCAGTGAGAACAACCTTAAGCCCAGTGTCCGTGACCAAAGTGGCGAAGCTGGGCATGCTCCACGAGATCCTCTCCAGAGACTTCCTAAGGGCACTGACAGGGCCCCCAACACTCCTCCACAGTGGGCTTTCACGAGAAAAAACAGAGGTCCACGCCTCATTCATTTCGGGGAGCGTCAGAGCGTGACGGTAGAGGCCCAGATGGGAGGTCCACAACTCTTTCGACCACCTCACAATAGGCGACACGGCAGAGTACCACGTCGGGTCTTGATGAGCCAACAACAAGGTAGTGAGGCTTCGGCCCTTGGCCGAAGGCTGCAGCACAGAGCCAGCGAGCTTCCTAATCTGCCAGAGTTCGTGATCTGACACCCCGTAGACCTCGGAGCCATACAGGGTGGAGCTGAGAGCCCCCGAGGCCCACACGGCTTTCGAGACCCTAACCCCGACGGTGGGACGGATCCGCGCCAGCCTCTTCGTGAACGCCCGCGCCTTAATCTCCCTGACTTTTTGCTTGCTAGAGCGCCCCTTGAGGCGCCTAGGGCGGCCGACCGCGTCGTCCACTCCCAGATTAGCAGAGGCCGCGACCACCGGTCCAGCCAGCCCGCCGAGTCTCCGACCGAGCTGCAGGGCCAACTTGCGCGAGGAACAGATCAGCGATCGCTTCCCTTCCTCCCGATTGACTATGGCCCCGACCCCTTCCTCAAACACACTGATGAGGCGCTCCGCGCTCGGCGGCAAGTTCTTCAAAATATGCTCCGACGTGCCAGTGCACGATAAACCCGAGTCGTCGATGTACAACTTGAAATGAACCTGCGACGGCAACGAGACCACCCTCCTCTCCGGCTCTCCTCTCCTCTGCCTCCTGAGTCCTTCCCCACGGACTCATTTGTCCCACGCATAGAGACCTGTAATGTTTCGGGGTGGGGGTCTGGGCAGCTCTGGTTAGAGAAGACAGACGCCGACGTCGTCCTGATGCAGGAGCACAAACAGTTGCCTCACATGGTGGCAAGCGGTTCGTCGTGGGCGATTCGCCACGGCTGGAAGTCATTGTGGGTGCCTGCGGGTCTCGGCCAAGGAGAAGGCCCCAGCGCAGGAGTTGCTATTTTTGTCCGAGCGGCACTCGGACTTCGAGAGCCTGACTCTGGCCACGAGGTCGTCGCGGGGCGTGTCATCGCTGGCTTGGTCGAGCTTCCTGGGAACGCGACCTTCCTGGCCATCTCGGCGTACTTCCACGATTGCGAGGACCTTTCGGACCGAAACGTGTCTATTCTGTCGTCCTCGGTTTCCCTGGGTCGGGCCCTGGGGTTTCCTTTCTGCTTGGGGGCGGATTTTAACATGGAGCCTACTGTGCTCCTCGACGGCTTGGGGGATCGCAGGGACCTGGAGGTTTTGGTGCCCGAGGGGCACACGTGCAAGTCCACTGCTGGCCTCAAACAGTTTGATTTTTTCGTTTTTTCTTCTGACCTGGCCAAAGGGGTGGCGTCTGTTAAAGTGGTTCGTGAGACCAATCTCACGCCCCATTTCCCTGTGGTCGTGATGCTCCACCCGTCAGTTGGCAAGCTTAAGTCTCTCGCCTTTCGGCGACCGCCGCCCTTGCCCACGGTTCCTGTGGTCCCTGGCTCGGTCGTTGCTTCCGTGGCTCCCTCCCCCTGGGTCCTCGACGTGCTGGACTCGGTTCGGAATGCTGTTCGCCACGCTGATTTCGAGCGGGCCCAGGAAGCTCTTGACCTCAGCTACAAGGAATGGGCTAAGGTGGCTGAGCGCGAAGTGGCTGCTGCGACTGGAGTCACTTTGCCTGTTTGGGGGGCTCGGTCTAAGGAACCCACCATGTATTGGAAGCCCATCTTGAACAAGGGTGGTGAATGTAGTAACGAGCACCTCTTCTCTTGCAGGTGGCTGGCGAATATTTTCAACACTGTGCACGGGCACTGGAGTGAGCTCAATCAGGCGGGGCTGCGGGAAGTGCTGGACAGGATGTTAGATCCCCCTCCCAAGGTGTTGTCTAACCTTGGGAATCTTTCTCGCTACTTGGAGTCCCTATGCCACTTCGTGCAGGAGTTGCCCATGTATGAGATGCCTGAAGGGCCTCTTTTCGAATTGTTTGAGCACATGCAGGTGTGTTTCACGGAAGACCTCCGAGCTGCGGAGGCTAAGTCGCGCAAGGATTCTCATCGCGAGTTTCGTGACTGGCTGCTGTACAGGGCCAACAGGGGAGCTAAGCGAGTTCACGCTGTGTCGAAAGGGGCCCACCCCTGGGTCCCCACCACCACCCTCTCCTTGGAGGGGGTGGTGGTGGCCGACCCTTTGTCCCTCTTGAAGGCGGAGTCACGCAAATTCAGTAAGTTGTGGGGGTGCCAGCGAGAGAATCCTTGGTTTGAGTTGGGTGAGATCTGCGACGGTCTGCCCCCTGTTCCCATTGAGGCTGTCAGGGAGTTTTCCAGGAAGTTTCGGGAAAACACTAGCGTGTCTGTTGACGGTTTTCACATGCGCCATTTCCATATGATGAGCGAGGCCACGCTCACTTCGCTCGTTTCGATGTTTAATGTCAAGGAGGAGGAGGACGAGGAGGAAGAGGAGGTGGAGGAGGAGGAGGAGGAGGAGGAGGAGGAGGAGGAGTCAGCGGAGCGGCAGCACGCACAGCAGATGATGCCTATAATGCCTTCACGGGGTCTTGCTGCTGCCGTTGTGCTGTTGTCCTGGCCTCCGCCAATCAGCCTTGGCTTCCTTTGACCATGCGGAGTCCGACGGACTGCCGCGCCTCGCAGATCCAGACTAGATTTCTGACTGCACCCAGACCTCCGATGCTGCGCCCTTGATCCAATCCGTGGGCCCTCCGCGGAGGCGTCGGCCGCTTCCCCGCGGCCGAGGTTTCGTCCCAGGCCCGTGCCGAGCGGCCCCCCGACGCCGCGGAATGCGGGGCGCCGCCGCACCGACGCTTCCAAGACGCGGGAGGCCTTTGGGGCTGCAGCCGTTCAGCCTTCGAGGGGCCGTCGCCCTCCAGGCGTGGCCCCGCGTGGTGCGTGCGAGCTCGCGGCAGCCGCGCCCCCCCCGCCCGGCCAGCGGCAGAGGCATGGGCTCGGGCAGCTCCTCGGGCAGGGGGGCTCCTCCGTGGCGGTCCCCCGCCCGGCGGTCGCGCGTGGCGGGAGCCGCCTCGGACCTCAGAGGAGGAAGAGGTGCCCGTACCTCTGCCCTGCCCTCGCTTTCCCCTTTTTCTGGGCCTCCTCGGAGGTCCTCGTGGCCACCGATGGCTTCACTTCGAAATTCTGGTCGGAACGCACCCTGGGAGAAGTCCGGGGAGCAGCGGTTTTTGGTACCTTTCTGGCTTCCCCAGGACGCCTTCATTGCGTGGGCGGAGTCGCCTTCCAACTCTCCCATTAGGTCGTCCGCAGGAGGCGCCTGCGCACCGACACCGGGCCTGGCCAGGGCCATCCTGGCCCCATAATTGTGGGCGGAGGCGCATGCACTGTGCCTCGAAGAGCAAAACAAGCAAACGGCATAAACATAAATTGTTGGAGCTCCGTTCGGATTTCTTGGATCTTCCTCCCTCGCCCTCCGGCGCCGCCAGGGGGGCCCGGCGCAGATCCAAGAAGTCCGCGAAGAGCTCTGGCAGTGTATGTTTATGCCGGTTTTGGGTTCCCCAGATGCCAGGGCCCCCAGTCGCCCTCTGATCGCCAATAGGGGCCTGACAGACCACCCTCGCCCAGGAGCGTGCGAATTCACTAAAATCATCGTTGGCTTGTCGCCGATCCGTCGGCGATGCATCGCCGATGCCAGGCCGACGTTTCCCCCCCTGTGCCAGTCCCCCCCCTAACCTCTAGAAGTCTTTCGTTTTGATCTCCCCCCTGGAGCTCTCGGCGGTGACTGAACTGGCCCTCCCTCCTCCTCCCTCCCTCCCTCCCTCCCTCCCTCCCTCCCCCCTCCTCTCCTCCTCCTTCCACCTCCTCCTCCTCCTCTTCCTCCTCCTACCTCTCCTCTCCTCTTCCTCCCTCCCTCCCTGCCTGCCTCCATCCTCTCCCTCCCTCCTCCCTCCCTCCCTCCTCCCTCCCTTTCTCCCCTCCCTCCCCCCCTCCCTCCTCTCTATCTTTTCCCTCTCCTCCTCTCCTACTACCTCCTCTCCTCTTCTTCCTCCTCCTCCTTCCTCCTTCCCTCTCCTCTCTCCTCCTCCTCCTCCTCCTCCTCCTCCTCCTCCTCCTCCTCCTCTTCCTCCCCCCCCTCCTCGAGGACCGCCCTGGCCAGGCTCCCTGGCCAGTGCACGGGCCGCCCCTCTGCGCAGGTCGGGGTGCCCTGCCAGCGAGCGCCGGCGCCCCAGCTGCCAGATGTGCGGGGAGGTGCGCAGGACCGCGCGCCTGGAGGCCGGCGGGTCGTTCTGCGCGGCCTGCCAGCTCTGCGCCGACCACCCGAGGGCTTCGGCTAGGCGAGCGGCGCAAAGCAGCGGCGTCGGTGGTGCCGAGACTCGCGCGTGAGCTTCCCGCGCAGGGTTATGATGTTCCAACCTGCTTTGGCGGCTTTCCCCACGGACTTCTTTATTCTTTTTTTCTTTTTTTTCCTTGTTCTTTTTTTTTCATTCTTTTATGGTTCTTTTTTTTTTTTTTTTCGTTTTTTTTTATTTTTTTTTTTATTTTATTTTTCTTTTTTATTCTTTTTTTTAAATTTTTTTTTTCTTGTCTTGTAATTTTTTATTTTCTTTTTTTTTTTTTTTGCCCACCAGAAAGAATATTTTTTTTTTCGAGCGCCTGACAGGAGCCCAAAACTCGAGGGTTTTTACGTGTCGGGCCCTGGAAGACACTCGTCCGCCACTGCTTCGACACTCTTTCGACACTCTCTGGGTAGTCGAAGGCCAGACTGTCAGACTGGATTGGGCCCCAAGGGCCAATCTGGCCTGGCCATATTGGAGGATTTGGGTTATTATTCGCCAGACTGGATTCGCGTTGGCTCCCTCGCCAGATGGCCCCCGCTTGCCAGATTGGGCCTGCCAGATGGGCGCCATATTGGCTTCGACCACCCAGACTCTTTCGACTTGGCCTTGACCACCAGAGAGAATTTCGAGCGCCTGACAGGAGCCCAAAACTCGAGGGTTTTTACGTGTCGGGCCCTGGAAGACACTCGTCCGCCACTGCTTCGACACTCTTTCGACACTCTCTGGGTAGTCGAAGGCCAGACTGTCAGACTGGATTGGGCCCCAAGGGCCAATCTGGCCTGGCCATATTGGAAGATTTGGGTTATTCGCCAGACTGGATTCGCGTGGGCTCCCTCGCCAGATGGCCCCCGTTGGCCAGATTGGGCCTGCCAGATTGGCGCCTCTTGGGAAGCTCTGAGGGGCCGCTTGGAAGCCTCGTGGGGGCCTCTTGGGGCTTCCTGGGGGTCTCTTGGAGGGGGCCTGGGGCGTCTTGGAGGCTTCTTGGACGGTCTTGGGGCTATCTTGGGCGTTTTCGGCCGATCTTTGGGCGACTCGGGGCCCTCTTGGGCCGTCTCACTGTTTCGACACTCTTTCGACACTCTTTCGACACTCCTCCGGGTGCTCGAACTGATTTCTGGGGCGCGGTCCTCGAGTACGATGGGAGCAGCACGAGCGCCGGGGGTCGCGCGTAGGCGCCCCTCGCTTCGGGTGCGGCGTGCCGCGCCGGCGGCCCGCGTGGGGCCACCGCGTGGGGCCACCGGGTGCGCTCCTCCTCCTCCTCCTCCTCCTGCTCCTCCTCCTCCTCCTCCTTCTCCTCCTTCTCCTCCTCCATCTCGCGCAGGAGCCGCTTCTTTTCGTCGCCCAGGTGGCGTGGCTGGGACGACGGCACACAGCGGCCGCAGCCGCAGTTCCCGTTCCGGGGTTTTCCCGAGCACCGTCCAGAAAGCCCACTGTTGTGCGAGAGTGCGCGTCTCCCCTGAGCGCCGCCGTCTAGATCCAACTGAGGGCCCTTGAGCCATACCTCTGCGGGTGGTCCGGCCCCAGATGGCAAGGCAATTGCGAAGTGGGCGTGGTGGGTGACTCCCAGCATGTGACGCCAATCCCCCCTCTTCCCTTAACCCCCTCTCCCCCTTCCATCTCTTCCTTCCGCTAAGCCCCTTGAACCGCACAGATTCCTTTGGACACCCCAGGAACTCCTTCCAACCCTTGGGAGCACCCCATATCTTCACAGAACATGTCCTTCATACCCTTTCGCACTCCTGTATTTTCTCGTAACCCCCCGCTTCCCCTCCTTACTCCTCCGCTTCTCCTCGCTACCCTCTTCGCTTTCCTCGTCCTGCTCTTTCCCATCCCGCGTTGCCATGCTAAAGAGCAGTGCGTTCGGTACTTTAGGCAAACCGTCACTGCAGGCACGTGGGCAGTTCACGAGCAGCGGCCCAGTAGTTAGACCATCTGCGCATTCTGTGACAATTATTGACGCTTCGCGTATCCCCGTCAGCCTACCCAGATGGTGAAAAAGAAGTGAAGAAACAGTCGTGAAACACAAGGGCGGCACTTGTTAATCCGACATTGCGGCTTGCCCAAGGAACCGCAAACGATTTCGTCTTTTTGGGGCCGTCCTGGAGAAGGGGGGAGGATGACGATGAGGAGGGAGAGGGAGAGCGCAAGGAGAGCGATGAGGAGAAGGATGAGGATGAAGATGAGAAGGATCGGGTTTGTTGTGCGGGGTATTGCAGGACTCTCTTGCAGGGCTCTCTTGCAGGGCGGGGGCTGGAATTTGCATGGGTCATTGCAGGAACGCGTTGCAGGGTATTGCAGGGGTGCGTGGCAAGGCCTCCTGGAGTGAAGAGGAGGGTGAGATGGGGGGAGGGCGAGGAGACAATGCTACGATCATGCAGTGAAGCAGAGGGCTTGGGGCAGCGGCCCCATCACATTCCACCAGCTAGAAGAAGGCCTCCAGCAAGGCCCGAGTTCGTCGTGGCAGCGGTGGTGCGCGAAGAGGCCATGAGTCAAAGACTGGGACGTCTTGAGGCTTTCTTGGGTCCTTTTGAGGCTCTATATATGGCAGGCTCTTAGGGGCCTCCTTCTGGGCCATCCTGTAGGACATCGATCAAGCCGGGGCCTCCCTGGCCGGAGTGACTACGGGGGGGCCTCCTGCGACGCTCTTGGGGTTCACTTGGGGGCCATCCTGGAGACGATTGGGGCCTCTCTGAGTGCTCTACCTTGGGCGGTCTCTGGGCCATCGTGAGGTGCCAGACTCCCATCAGAAGCGAGGGCGAGAAGCCCAGCATCCTTGGACCCCCCGTGGCTTCTAAAGGGCTTCTGGCGTCTTGGAGACATCGCCGGGAGGCCCCGTGATCGCGTCGGGCCGTCCCGGGGACACCCCGAGACCATCGCGCGCCCCCTTCTCTCCGGACCCAGGGGACGAGCAGAGCTTCAGGATCCGGCCTGAATGAGGAACACTTCTCCGGATTCCATAACAAAGTGGGGAGGGTCAGATTCGGGGGGGGTCTAATTTGAGCTGTCTTGGAAGGCTCGGGGGGGTCTAGGCAAAGGGCCGCCCTTTCATGGATGGTCTGGGGGGGTCTAAAACTTCTCGTCTGGGAGGGTTGTGACCCCCTCCCTTTTATTACGAAATCTGGAGTATGCTTCAAGAGAGGCCCCGGCCGCTCCTCTTTGGTTTGCAGGCGTGCCGCCTGCCTCGCTGGGCGGCGAGCTCCCCTGGCGTTCCCTCGGATTCCGGGCGCGCGGGCCCGTCCCCGCGGACCTCGCAGACCTGCTTGGGGGACACAAGGGGGCTGCGCTCCTCCTCGACCGCTCCTGGAGGTCCGGCCGAGGCTGCACGCCCCCTCCACGAAGGGGAAAGAGAAGGTAAAACAGGGCTAGGATCGGGATAAATCGCTCCAGAGCGTTCCAGAGCGCTCTCAGAGCGTTCCGGAACGCTCTGGAGCGGCCGCGGCGCCCAATACATCCTCCAAACCCGCCGATTCTCAGAGATTTCGAGGTACCCCGATCCGATGTTGTCCCTATCTTCGCGTCGTTTTAGAAGGATTTTTTTTTCTGGGAGGGTCGGGCCCCTCGGGCATCTGCTTCCCCCCCCCCCGCGGGCACTCCGTCGCCGCGGCGGGGCCCGCCTTGCCCGCGGGCCCGCTCTCCGAGGGCACGGCCCCACGAGCTCACGGCTGCCTCAACGCGCCCGCGCTGGCACGCCACGCGCACCGTGTGCAGAGCGTCCGTGGTCGGTGCGCTGCGTGTTGGCTCAGCGTGTTTCGGAGGAGGGAGCACGCCGTAAACATCAAAACTGTTGGCGCTCCGCGCGGATTTCTTGGGCCCGCGCTGGGGCGGGGCCCCCCATGGCGGCGCCTCCGGCGCCGCCCCTGGCGCGCCTCGCGCGCCAGGGAAGAGGGTCCAGCGTAGATCCAGGGAATCCGCGGGGAGCGCCAACAATTTTTATGTTCATGCCCTTTTCTCTTCTTCTCGTACTGGCCCACATGTAGTTGGCGAGCGTATCGAGCCTGCCCTACGTTTTCAGTCTACGTGTGGAGCTCCGTGTCACTGCGCGACGTGTTGCGTGTTGCGCATCGGAGCAGCTGAGCCGAGATGGGGTCGGAGCAGACGTCGCCGCGCGTCTGTTCCGTGCGTGCCGGGGCGGCTAAGCCCGCCTGGTCATCCGCGCGTTCTCCCCAAAAGCTCCGGCGGCGCGCAGCAGGGGCAGGGCGGAGAGGGGGGGTGGGCTTTCCGAGGGAGCGCGGAGGGAGGGGTCTCAGAAGGCGGGGTTGCGGGCACGATCTTTATCCACATCCACCGCGTCTTGGAGTTCCGGGCTCCCAACCTCTGATGCCAGAGGCGCCGTGGATGTGGGTATGAAACAGTTTCGCCCCTAGAGGTCAGATTTGTATCCATATCCACGGCGCCGCGGCCTCTTGGCGCCCCTTCCCAGAAAGGCCGAGACGCAGTGGATAGGGATATGAATCGTGCCCGCAGGGGGGGCCACGCTGTGCCCTGCACTCGCGGGCTCCTGCTTGCCCTGTCCAGTCTCTGGAGGAGGAGGAGGAGGAGGAGGAGGAGGAGGAAAAGGAGGAGGAGGAGGAGGGGGACGAGGAGGGAGGAGGAGTGAGGGGGCGGAGAGGAGGAGGAGGAGGGGGAACGAGGAGTAGGAGGAGGGGAGGAGGAGGAGGAGGAGAGGAGGAGGAGGAGGAGGCGGAGGAGGTGGAGGAGGAGAGGAGGAGGAGGAGGAGGAGGGGGAGTCGCTCAAGTGCCGGCCCGCGGGCGCCTCGTGGCGGCCTCGCGCGCCGGGGGGGGTCCAGGTTCTGTGGCCTCGCGCTCGCCCGCGTGTGCGCCTCCTGGGCGCGCTGCGTGCTGGGTGGTAATGGAGGATGACGATTAATAAATGACCGGGGGTCGTGTTCACGCGGCGGCGCCTGGGATGACGATTAGAAAGAACCAGCCGCGGGCTGGAACACTATTCTTTTTAATCGTTCTCCTCCAGTCCGAAAATTATGCAGAAATAGCAAGGAACTATTTTTGTTAATCGAAATAGCAAGGAACTATTTTTGTTAATCGTTCCCCTCCATTTTTTATTAATCGTCATCCCGCATTGCAGTGGAGACCCACGCCAAATAACACCCTGCTTGCCTCATGGCATCAGAACAGTTGCAAGCATCCCACGGTGATTCCATCAGACGTCACATGCGTCACGGCGTCACGCCGGCCCCGCCAGGTTCGAAGCGCCACCGTGACATCCGAAGTGATGGAGCAGATGATATACACAGAGTAGTACAGTGGGGGCCCCTGCCAGGAGACGCCCTGCTCGCCTCCAGAGTGCCCTGGCCTTCTCGGGCTTCGAGGGTTTTGCTATGGGGAGCGTGGCGCTCCCACACCAGACATCCGCGGACGTCCTGGCGTGTCCGGGTGGGGTTCCTCGTGGACGGCTTCTTGTGGTCGGGCCCCCAATGCAGGTCCGCACGGCGCCGGCCCGCGCGCGGGCCCCTCGTGGGCGCCAGGTGCTTGCCGGATGCCTTGCTCCGAGTGCCCAGAGGTCCGACGCTCCAACAGAAATCGGGGCGGCGGGATTTGGGCCGCTGTCGGCCTCGGGGGCCCTCTTATGGGCCTCGGGACCGTTAAGGAGCGACTCAGGACGACAAAGCAGCCCGATATATATATATATATATATATATATATATATATATATATACACACACACACACACACACACACACAACACACAAACACCACACAACCCACACACACAACCATTATAAAGGGCGCACCGGGTACGGGCGGGCTCCGGGGCCGGGACCCCCCGACCAACAAATGTGGCCCCCGGGGGGCCCGGAGGCTAGTCGGACCGCCGGACGCCGTCCAAAGATCGTTCGCAGGCGGCTTCGGAACGCGCTCCGATGGCTCCAGATGCCTTCCAAGACGCCTGTCATGACACCAAGAAGGTCCCAGAAGCCTCCAAGACGCTCCGAGAGGCAGCCCAAGAGAGGCCCAAGAAGCAAAAATCGTGCAATTCCTATGGGAAAACGTATATTTTTCGCATGTTCGCCTCTTGGGCTTTCACCGCGTCCAAGACGGCCCAAGAGGCGCCCAAGACGGTCTACGAGGCCTCCGGGAGCGCTCCAAGGCTGCGCACGAGTGGCCCAGGACGGCCACAAGACGGCGTCAGAGAAGAGAAAGGAGCCCATAAACTTTTGGCGAGGGGTTGTCCCACGACGGAGAGGGGGGAAGAAGGGAGGGAAAGCAACCTTTTGACTTCCAAGCTTCCGGCCACAAGCAGGTCCAGGAACAGGAGGCGCCAAAATGCCGCCCACAGGCCAAGAAAGAAAGAGGCGCCCAATAAGGCTACCAAAAGCTACCCAAAGACGTTCCGAGAGGACCCAAGAGAGGTCCAAGAAACAAAAAAATCGTTGCCATTTCCATGGGGAAAAACGTTATTATAATTTTTCGCAATGTTGCATCTTGGGCTTTCACCGCGTCAAGACGGCCCAAAAGAGGCCTCCAAGACGGCCTGGGAGGCCTCCGGAAGCGCTCCAAGGCTGCGCACGAGTGGCTCAGGACGGCCCCAAGACGGCCCAAGAGAACCCCAAGACGACTTCGAGAGGGGTCCCAGAAGGAGAAAGCCACTCTCGAATTCCGAGCTTCCGGCCCCCTAAACCCCAACCCCCCAAAAACATATCCCAGGAGGCCCCTCCAACCAAACCAACAAAAACAAAACGCCGCCAGAGGCGCCCAAAAAGAAAGGCTTCCCAAAACATCCCAAGACGTCCGGAGATGAGGAGGCACCCCAAGAGAGGTCAAGAAACAAAAAAATCGTGTGCCATTTCCATGGGGAAAAGGAAGGGGGAAAAGAAGAAAAAAACGTTATTATTATATTTTTTCGCATTGTTCGCTATCTGGGCTTCACCGCCGTCCAAGACGGCCCAAAGAAAGGAGGGCCTCCAAGACCGCCCCACGACGGACCTCAAGAAGAAGCTTTTCGAAGAGCGGCCCAGGACAGCCCAAAAGAGCGGGCCCCCCAAGACGGCCAAGCCCAAAGAGGCGCCCCAAAGATGCGCCCAAGAGGGCCCCAGGACAGCCCAAGAGGGCCCCAAGACGGCCCAAGAGGCGCCCAAGATGGCCCAAGAGGGCCCCAAGACGGGCCCAAGAGGGGGCCCAGAGGGGGACCACGAACCGCAAGCTCGAGACTTCCGCCCCAAGAGGCCGCCAGGAGGCCCCAAGGAGGCCCCTCAAGAGGCCCCAGGAGACCCCCACGAGGCCCAAAGGAGGCCCCGAGAAGCCCCAAATCGGCCCCCAAAATGCTTCGAACCTGCTTCCAGGAGGCCCCCGACAGGTTCAGAGGCTCCCGAGAAGCTACGTCAAACTCCCAGCGAGCGGCCGGACGAGGCCCCCCACAAAATCACAAGAGTGTTCCAGTATTTGTATCCTTCAGCGCTCTCTGGCCTTCTTCCCCTTGCCCCCTTCCCTGCGACTTTCGTTGACTCAAGCTCGCCTCCTAGCTAGAACCGAAGCGCGCGCGAAGCGCGCGCGTGGTTCTAGTATATATATATATACATACATACATATATATAATATATAATATCATATAATATAATATATATACATATATATAGAGAGAGAGAGAGAGAGAGAGAGAGAGAGAGAGAAAAAAAAAGTGAACTTCCAGGGCCCATGCATCGGAAAAATTGGAGCGGCCGGATGTCTGGGTAGCTTGCGCCACATGGTCTGGAGCACGTAACGTGTGCCACGCAGCTTCAACTGGCAGCGTGCGCCCCAGGGCTGGCACCACATAGCCTGCACCGCATATCCTGCACCACAGAGCCTGCACCACACATCTGACACGTCCAGACTGCAGAGACGCACCTTTTGGGGTCCACACTGGCAGTTTGTTCAGAGGGGCTTTGAGGCAATTTGTTCAAAAGGGGCGTCCTTTCAAGGCTTCCTGGAGTGCAGTGGCCCCTGCAGGCGGAGCTGGCTCTCAAAAAGCGACCTCTCCTCGCCCTGCCCCCATTCGTTGCTGCGACGCCAGCTGCTGACACGCAGGTTCTAAGCAACCCGCCGCAGCAGGCCTGCAGCGAGGCCTGCAGCTCATAGTTGAATTGCTGACTCATCCTTCTTCTCAGACCTTACTCTTAAGATTTCCGAAACATACTGTATCATGACCTGTCCTCCCTCCTCCCTTTTCCTCCCTCCTTCCCTCCTCCCCTCCACCCCCCTCCTACCCTCCTCCCTCCCGTACCTCCCCCTCTCCTCCCCCTTCCTCCCCCCTTCCTCCTCCTCTCCTCCTCCCACTCCTCCCTCCCCACCCCCTCTCCTCCCTCCTCCTCCCCCTCATCCTCCTCCTCCTCCTCCTCCTCCTCCCCTCGCCTTTTTGCCACGCTGAAGAGCAGCGTGGCCTGCCGCCTGCAGGCATAATCCGCGGCGGTGGCCGCCGGCGCGCGGGCAGATCACGAGCATTGCCCCGCCAGATCACCTGCACACTCGCTCAGGCGTTGGCGGGCGCCGCCGCCTGGGGGCACGCCGGCGGGGGGGGGGGCCGCCCTCCAAGAGGGCGCGTGGCCTCTCGGGCGAGCCCAGCCCCCTGCTCTTAGGTCGGGCGCGTCCCCCTACTGGCGGATTTTGGAGGAAAAGTTACACATGTTTCAAAATATTACAAAACTGCCCCCTCCCCCCCCCAAAAAAAAACATCCCAGAACAATCGTCCCCATGCTATGTTTTGACTGCTTTTGAATGTTCCTCCTGTAGAGGGACAGGCCCGACTGAACCCTTCTCTGAAGGGCGGCAGGCAGATGTTCTGGAAGCGTCGCGGAGCCCCACCAGCCCACCCATAAACGACGACTTGGCGGGTTGCCCTGATCAGGGATGTGAAGGAGCCCGCAGCGGAATCAGGGGCGGGGGAAGCCGTCATGCCCGAAGGAGGGGAGGATGGAGGAGGAATTGGAGGAGGAGGAGGAGGAGGTGGAGGAGGAGGAATAGACGGATGAAGAAGAAGAGGAGGAGGAGGGGAAGGGCAGGAGGATGAGCAGAAAGGCCAGAGGCCTCTTGGATGCCTCCCAGAGTCTCTTCGGATGTCTCTTGTGAGCTGCTTGGAGTCCTCCTGGGGCGTCTTGGGGACCTCTTGGCGGTCCCAGAGGCCTCCGCGAGAGTCTTGAGTGCCTCGGGGGGGCCTCTTGAGGGTCTCTTGGGAGCCT